ACTTTTATCAAATTTGATAGTCGTTTGACATGTGCTGTGTACCGTGTAAAGCGTTGTTTGATCAAATTGATAAACAAAGTGAAAGAACAAGTGCCCGATAATTTAAATAAAAAGAAGAAATGAGCAAGAAAAGAAAATAATTCGACTTCATTTTAGAACTAACAAATTATTTCAAAAATCTCCAAAACCATTTTGTGGTGATACAACTTCAACAAAAACTGAAATTTTATGGGTTTTTTGACGTGTTTAAGTCAAACCATCTAATTACACAGACATATCTGTGCACAATAATTTAAATAAAAACCCATAATTGGACAAGGAAAAAGTATACGACTTAGTATTAGTATTAACAAATGAATACAAAGCTTTCTTAAGCTTCTCTTCAACTTCATCCAAAACGAAAAACTGAAATTTGATGGGTTTTTTGCAGCGTGTAAGTTAAACCATCTAATTACACAGAAGACAGTTTGATCAAACAATGTGACCATGTAAGGTCCATATAAGGCATCAACACACGTGCGATTCTGACGGTGCGAATCTGTTCCGAAAAAATTACAACAATGCCGCAATTATTTATTGGAACATTCACAGCTCTTCATTTTACTTTAATATATTACTGCATTTGAAAAAAATTATATATTTACAGAATACATAGGTACAGATACATATATGAAAAACCATATCTAAACAATCAGAGGTACGGATGATATACCTCATATAGCAACAATCTAAGTGATTTTCACTGCTGTGTGATCGGTATGTAAACCGGTAACACAATTTAATGGATTTAGACTCCTACATAGAGGAGATATATCGTAATAACTGGTATCTGAATAATCAGAGGTATAAGAGATAAAGCTTATACAGCATAGATTTTGACGATTTTCTCAGTAGACTTTATATTATTATTTATAGAATAGCTTACGAAATTAATCTGTTATAGCAGTCCAAAAAATGAGTTTTACAGTAAAACCCCATATCTGAACAATCAGTTTTATGGAGGATATTTATTTATATTTATTTATTTAATAATAATCCAGAAATTATTACATTTCATAAAGATTACAACGATTTAAAAATAAGAAAAACAAACTAAGTAATTAATTCATTTAATATTGATTTAAAACGGGTTTCCGAGTAAGAAAAGTCTAGAACAGAAGAATTTGAGAGCAAGTTGAATTCCTTTAGAGCCCTGAGTATGGGAGCATTAGAAGCATATTGAGTTCTTACCTTCTTCAAGGAGAAAGTTACGTGATTTCTCAAACATCTCTGAGGCACAGCGA